TGGGACTTCGAAAAACGCTTTTGCAATCGATATAGGAACTGTAATTTAAATTACATTTCAACAGTCGTGCCAATCTGTAAAATGCTAAATGGATTAAGGAGTAAAAAAACGTCCGGTAGAGTCGAGTTCAGTCATCCACAGTTTTATGATTTCTTATCCTTCATGAATAAGATAAAGCTGAGAGCTCTCAGTTGAAAGCGATTAAGGTGAAGCTGTTTAAGTAAAGCTGGGATCTCTCACCTTTTTTATTTGTCTGTTGGCATCCCTTCTCATTTCGATTTTACTTACGGTTTATTTACGAATGATTAATGAACATTGATTGCACATGTATGTATTCTTTGTTTGAAAGCATTTCAGGCAACTTGAAGCACCGGCTGCAAAAAAAAGCCGCAAAGGAACTGCTGAAAAAGCCGATGATCAGTATCTGATGGATTGGACAAAAGATCGAACCAATACGTTGAAGCTTTTGCGCCGAACATTTTCTCTAAATAGTATCGATGCGCAGGGTCGAAAGCGTAATACAGCTATTCGTTTTCTTTGGCAACCCTCGATTGTGCCACCCGAGCTGTTAAAGTAAGCGATTAAATTTGGTTTATGCTATTCAAAAACCTTCGTATTTCACTTTTTAGACAGTCATAGGCAGACGAAAATAGGTAGTACGTTGTAGAAAGCAATTTTGGCATGATATCATGACACCGTAGGTTAGGCGAGAATCATTTGAAGCAAGTTAATAGTGATTTTGACTTTTTGACCCACGCCAATACATTTTATGATTGGATTGGTTTTCCAACAGGCGGATTTGAACCTTTTATTGCCTTCACTTTTGTAATAGAAGAGCCATAGAAGGCCGAAACAAAATTAGACAGTCCAAGTAGAGCCAATGAAGAGGGTGAAATTATCAAGTGTTTTTTTGCGGCGGTCGAACCACACCTTCCGAAGTAGCAGCCCGTACAAACCAAAGAAAATTCAGAACGACTGAATTCCTTAATTTTTAAAGGTTTGTAACTCGATTCACTTCCAGACACCTCCGCCTTTCAAGAAGCTCAAATACAAAAGAGTTTGTAGTTTGCATATTTTTCCGTCACGTTTAAATGTGGCGTCTTATTTCCCCTCGTCGCTGCTGAAATCATTTTTTTTTTGAGTTTTAAAAATTGCCGTCATTTTGCAGGATTTCGATAGATTTGGCGTACAAGTTTCTTGAAAATCCGGAGCTGGGTAAAGTTAGTGGACGAGATTGGCTGCAGGCAATCTTTAGCTATATCAAAGTTATTTGTATTGACTACAACGAAGCGGCCAGTGAGTGCTTTCTTTTTCCAATATATTATCTTTATCTTAGCTTTCCGTTAATTTTGAAAGAGATAGTATCCACGGAGAAAAAAAAAAAACAACCGCTTGGGAACTTTCAAAGCGGTTACTTTCAATCAATATCGCATTGCCAGTTACTTTTGATTAATATCGCACCCCCTGTTGCTTAGTCTACTGGCGATATGGTTTATTTCCTGACGGGGCTCACCAGCTCGGTGGTTTTCCTAATAGATGTGTTTGACAAGATACTTGCTTGAATACTTGAGCAGTAGCTGTATGTCATCGACGTCCGTTATCATGCCATCGATGCAGCTGGCAACTTCTCCGTTCGAGTCGTTATTGCGCTCTCCGAGTCCACATGGTACCATACAGGCGTTCCATGGGGTCTCTCCACCTCACTGATGGCCTTGCCAGTGTCCACTTGACTGTGCGCGGATAAGGGATATAAAAAATGGAAGATAGTGAAAGTAACTGGTTGCAGAGATTGGTGCGAAATTGGTGAATTTGATGAAACGCCTTGACTATCTCTCGTTATCTTCGCTTACTCAGTCTCCGTTCGTAGACGCAATCGAATCGGTCTCGTATTATGATGACATGGATGCGCTTTTTCAAGCAATGCTTGCCGCGCTTGGTAAGAGTTTCTTTTAAGGAATTTTGTGAAGCATGTATATGTGGGCAGCAGGAACTATTATTTTCTACTTTTCTGCTCTTGTGAAAACACCATAGTTCACTCATATGATGGGGAAAAGTATGGATAATTTGATTTAATGAGTCAAAATTGTGAAGGAAAAGAATCTGAATATCTAGAGCTTCACCACTGTAACGCAAAATATAGATAAATTTTTTTTTTAAATCATAATTCAGAAATAAGGGTATTCCAGCCGCATATGAAGTAGAGTAGATAAACGAATTCAGGTTTTTTTTTAAATTCGAAAATGTTTTAAGAAAGTCTTGGATTGAATGAGTTTGCGTCTCAAAAATATCAAAACCCACTGGGAAATGAATCGAGGAAATAATTCGTATTTAAGCTGTTAAAGTGCGGAAACAATGCGGGTGTTATGTCTAGTTTGTATCAAAATTAAGATGTGATTTTTTTGCTGATATGAAAAAGCACAAATGAAAGTGAAATGAAAATTATCCTGAGTTCCAAATAGTTCTCAAGCAATCCATGTAAAATCCAGGACTTCTTTAGTTTAATTAGCTATTGGTGGAAAATACTAGGATTTGTGACTTTTTACTACTTGTCTGTGTTTTTAGGGCGCTTATCGAAAAGTGATTTCACGCGCAGCGATGTCTCGGCTCGCCCGTTTGCTCTGTTCATTATGACATTAGCCGAAAAGAAGCCACATCTGTTGAACAAGCATATCGTCAACATTGCACCATTCTTGGCCGATGATGTTTGTTTTTTGCTTTTTTTCTTTGTTTTTCAAATATTGTAACATCATCACCTTTATCACTGCATATGAAATATTGCAGAAATTTTAAAGGTACAAACAGTGACTGTTCCTGGCAAGGAGATTGGAAGAGGATGAGGGCCTGAAATCTTTTATATGTTAACATATGCAGTTTGTTTGGCGCTATTGACCTACCGTCGGGAGGAACATAATCGAATTTTAAAAATTAATGAAAACTGAAAATGGCACTTAGATCTCCCAAATAAGTAAGCCTGTATTTGCAGTGACTTGGTAGCCTGCCTGTCTTTCATCTCTGAGCAATTTTATCGCAGTTATTTTAAGATTATGGCTATCTCAAGTTTGCCCGGACTCTTATTATGCATAGGCACCACTAGGTAGTCATTGCTTGAGTATTATTCAGTAAATCACTTTGTCCTTCTACGGCCTTCATTTCGTTTAAAATGCACTGCAGTACAGTTAAGCGTGTTTTTTTTTCAGCCATCTGCACTTCGCTGTGCAGTTCTTTGTGCGTTTGTCGAAATTGTTATGCAAGTTTACAAAGGAAATTTGCCAGAGGGTAATTTTCGACGTTCTCGTGATCGACTTCTTCTACATTTGCAGGTGAATTGCATTGTACATTGTTTAAAAATGTCTTTAGATCTAAAAGTTAAAACCAAAATTCCGTTTCTTGAAAAACCGAATTACCCGAAAGTAACTTAGATAACAGAGCTTTTTGCCAGCTGTTTCAATAGAAAGTTGTAATAAAGGATGAAATAAAGAGAAAAAAAGGTGAAAAATGGAAATTAGAAAATTTGTAAGATTATTATTGTAAGAAGTGTATCGGTCCAGTAAGTCGTATACATTTCTTATCATTACCACAACTAGGCGAGTGAAAGTTGAAACTTTTATTGATCCCCTTATTGCGGGAGGG